ACATTTTATTCACAAATAATAAATTCCATTCTATTTTTTTACCAATTGAGATCTCACCAATATTTTCGTACATCACTAAAATAAAGGAAAATAACTTTAAAATCTTCAACATGCTTCATTTTTTCAATTAAGTTCTGTTTCCAATAATCAAATTAACATTTTAAGGACCATTTGATTAATACTGATGATTGAAATGTTAAAGCCACCAATTGTTAAACCCAAAGAAGATGTGCATTTATTAAACAAGTATCTTCTTGTTAGTACATAAAGGGCATTTACTAAACTATTTGTACTGCTATTATGAATCAAACCACTGAATTTTCAATAAGCTATTAATAAAACACTGTTCAGTTCAGCTTAATCTTCTCATTTAGAACTGAGTAACATTTAAATGTTACTCTGAATTTGATGGAAAACATAGAAAACAATATTACATTAAGGAAAGAAGAGCAGAAAAAAATTATAAATGTAATTCTCTTTGAAACCAAACTACTTTGCATTGTGCCTTCTTCTATTTCTTCAGGATTCTAATGATTAACACAATTTATACACATTCAGATTTTAAAAAATTACTTTACTGAATGACATAATTGAGGACAAGTTCAGTGTATATATTTTTAAGGGTTTGAAAAAAAATATATACTTCAGAGAATAGAATCTTTTATTATAACATTTTAAAATTACTGATTCTATATAATTATTTAGATAAAATCACAATAAAAATAATAAAATAATAAAATATCCATAGTTAAACACTTCTGTTTTGACCTTCCAAAAAGCCATCAGGGAAAGTGACTGACTGGGAACAGGGAACTATTCCAGAGGGATTATTATTTATCATATAGCACATTCACATTTTTAACAAAAGTTAAAAATACAAAATATGAAATATAAAGTTTAAAAGTCTATAAAGTCTAAAATATCCTGTCAGATTACAAGGTTATTTCGGGGTTTGTTTTTTGGGGGCTTCATTGTTACAGCCATGAAATCAATAAAGTCTCCATTATAGGCTCTATTTTGACACCCTGTCACTATAAGTTGGATAGGGTTTTTTTCGGTCCCACAATCACAATTTGGTGATGGTGTTTTGCACAATTTATAGAGGGCATCTGCACATCTACCATGGCCAGTGAGAATTTGGTTCATATCGCACAGGGCTGGTTAAATCCAGGTGGTTTTTCCAAACTGCAATAATAAATAACTTTGGAGTTCTGTGGTGGTTTTCACATGGGCAACACTCCCAATATCTGCCTCTAGAAAGCACATACTAAGCAGGTCAGCTCCACTTGAATGTGATGGTCTTGAAATTACACAGCTACCAAGCCATATCAACTGTTATAGATAATGATCAAAACTTTGACTTGTTGTTGGTGCCAAAAAAGATGGAACTACTTGGAAGTTCACCATTTAGAATAAGTAATATTTATTAATAATGTTTAAGGTGTCAAGCTAGAAACTGAAAGATTGGGAGTTTTAATCCCATCTTTGGTGCAAAACCAGTTGGCCAGTCACTCTTCTCACCCCTAAGAGTAACAAAGTTGGAAGGAACCTTGGAGAAGAAGTGGGTTGCTCCTGGTTTGGCCCGGATTGGGCAAATTGATAGTGGCGGCATCGGGAGGCTCTGCCCACCCTCCTGGATGCTTCTGCGCATGCACAAGCAAACCAGTAGTGCTGGGATTTGAAACCCACCTCTGCCTTGGAGGTCACCTAGTCCAATCCCCTGCTCATGCAGGAGACCTGTACTAGGGATTCAAGCCGCCGAACTGCCGACCTTTCTGATTGACAAGCTCAATGTCTTAGCCACTGAGCCACCTACTCTAGGCGACCACCTAGAAAGAAATCAATGGCAAACCACTTCTGAAAATGCTGCTAAGAAAACTGCAAGGTCTAATTTGGGGTCTAATTTAGACTAATTTAAAGTCACACAAAAAAACCTCCCAACAACCTGATTTAAGAACTAGAAGCAAGGTTCAAACTGTCTTGCATTTTGTTTTTTATCCTGTCTACATAACAAACTTTTCTCACCCACCCTTTTTCCAGATGATACGGTCTGTTTTCTTGTGGATTGTTTTTGAAATGGTTGGATTTGTTGTTAGCTTTCTTTTTACTGACATTGTGGTTTTGTTGGGAGCTGCCAGGATTATTATATATAAGCCAGCTGTAAGTTTTATAAATAAATAAACTGACACCTGGGTATCTACTGGCAACCAATGCCACATCATACTATACCCAATCCAGGGTTAAATGCACAAGGGTTCTTATACATCAGAAAGCAGGCTGCTGCCTTTGGGATCAAGTGCACCTTCGGTCTCACACACTCTAGAGCAGGGTGTCCAAATTTGCCAACTTTAAGACTTTGTGGACTTCAACTTTATTGTCTTAGACAATAAAGATTATTATGCAAGTATTTTTTTAAAAAAGGAAAAAAACCAGTCCAGTTTAAAAAGTAGAAAGCGTTTATAAAAGTCCAGCCAAATTCCAGCAATAAAAAGGAAAAAAAACACTCAGTTTGACTCTGGCTTAATCTCGCCACTTAACCTCTCCAGTCTTCAATTTAAACTTTACTTTTAGTCTTTTAGGGTGTTCTCTCAAATAATAATGAAGAAAAATTCTCTCACCAGATTGACACACTTTCTGTCCTGCTTTCTCTTCCGTTCTGGAGCTGTCCCGGACTTCAGCAGCTTTGATGGCTACCTCGCAGCCGCTAGAAAAGGGCTTTTCCTGGATCAACCAGAAACTTTGTGATGTCCTTGGGATCAGCAGGATGTGCCCCTCTCTATCACCATCTTTATGGGATGGTTTATGTCCAAAAGGACTGTCCAGTGGCAGAGATATCAACGGCGATCTTGGAGTTGCAAAATTGCACGGCGTATCGCTGTGATGTCAGCTCCAACTCCCAGTACTCCCCAGCCAGAATGCCTGGATAGGGAATTCTGGAAGTTGAAATCCAAGGGTCTTAAAATTGCCAGAGTTGGTCTTGAGTGTGTTGTCCCCGTTTGGAGAAAACGTGATTTATGGCAATGGAGAGGTTAATTTTAGTGTATAATCATAAAAATAAATAGTGCAGAGATTGTGCTCACAGCACTTTCCTGAAAATGTTGAAAACACTTTTTTCCCAGCTACATGACATGCCCTGATGAAATATACAAATGTTCCTAATGCAAGTGATTTGCATTAGTTCCACATAATCTGTATCAGGATTAATTAATAGAGTGCATAGTGGGTCTACATCTGTTAGCCATTAGTCTTTACTCTAATTTATTAGATCTTCATAATTTACCTCAACAATTTATCAAGCAATGAATGGCTTCTGATGGCAAAACTGCTGATGGCATTAGTCAGTGACGTATTTTTGCAATATTTATATTTATCAGTGGAAATGTTGACTTTTATTGTGCATGCTTTCTGATAAATTATCTCATAATAGAAATTATGGAGCACTAGGCTGCTCAACTCTTAGTGTGATGCAAACATCCAATAACATGGCTCATGAGAAGCACATATATTAATGTATAATTTACAGTCAAATAAAAGTTAATGGCAGCCCTGATGCAATGGATTTTTAAAAGTTAGCATCAGAAGAAACAAAATATGCCCATATTTTTATATTTGTCAAATACTTTGTAAAAGTAACTGAAAAATACTTTTATTAATAAAAAATATTTAAAAAGAAATATTGCTCTTTTTTCTATAAATATTTATATAAATAATATTTGATTCCTATATGAGATTTTTAGCAACAACCTATTGATCATCTAGGTATAATAATAAATAGAGGGAACATAGAAATCAGAGAAATAGGAAAAATTTCCGATTTCACAAATGAAGACAATGTATGTGTCCAAAGGTAATGTTGCAGGATCCAATCTGGGTTGGTCACCGGGACCAGAGGTTTTGTTTTCCAAGCTTCCAAGCTGAGATAACTTCCCTGAGGTTGGGCTCCAGCATGAGTCTGAAAGCTTGGAAGACAAAATCTCATGTATGTATGTATGTATGTATGTATGTATGTATGTATGTATGTATGTATGTATGTACATACGTATACGTATACATATACAGAGAGAGAGAGGGAGATTCTTTGTGTGTGTGTGCGTATACGCAAGGGTGGCTGAGGGCTATTCAGCAGCAGCTGAATAACATCGCTCACCTC